CCCCCCCTAGCGTTCTTTGAAGGACCTGAGAACATGTTTTATCATTAGATCTTTAAAGAAACTGTGAATAAACGTGGGTTTCAGCCCTGAGCTGCATGTATCAGTCCTCTGCAGTGAGCTGGTGCTGTGGCGGGAGTCGGACCAGGTGAGGCGTGCTTTGTGTGGTATGTGAGTCTGCCCGGGATGAATGCAGACGTCCCCTTCTCTCTAAACTCTCCTCTTTTCAGGCCGGCAGCCCCTTGCTGAGTTGGTCGCAATCATTGTTTCTCTGCAGCATTAACCACATTCCACAGAGGCGCAGCGCATCCCGTCTACATCCCCGCATTCCTTTTACGCGAACAAGTCCCCGCAGTAAAACGGCGTTTATTTCCCATTTCCCCCCCGCTTGTTGAGCTCGGACTCGCACATTAGTGATATTCGTAGCGTCGCAGATTATCTGGAGCGGTTTAATCCGCGCAGGAGAGGCGGGAAGAGAAATGTAGAGGAAAAACCAACAAGGGGAAATTCCTCCGCGCAGCGCGCCATTGACTGTAAAGACCTTTCAACTTAACAAAAACTGAAGTTGACAAACGTTTCCCTGTCGGCTGCAACTGTGAGAAAGAGTTGGTTGGATTTGCGTGGAGCGGCGCAGAGCAGGAGGAGACGATGCGGGACTCGGTGGAGGTTTGCGGGTGTACGTCGGTGTGTTTAGTGTGAATGAGAGACGGCAGCACCGCGGCGTTTTGTTTTGATTTCCATGTGAAACGCAATTAGTGCTCCGCCGCGCTGCTCGGAGCGGAGCGACACCGAGAGTGAACTTGTTTCTGCCTCGACATGGAGCACTACCAGGAGGAGCTGGGGCTCCGGATGGACGACCTGTCCCTGTACGACGCCTACAAAGACGGGATGTACAACTCCAGGAGAGACTTGGTGATTAACCCCGACTTGGACTTCTCGGCTCCGGCGGTAGCGGAGCACAAAAGTGCGCCGATGAATGGCAGCTCTGTGCTCCACCAGCAGCATCACACGGTGGAGAATTTCACGTCTGGAAATAAAGTGTACAACGCGGCTCCGGTGAGACCCGTCAACTGCAACCGGGCCGTGCCGGTGGATTTCTGCGCCCCGCAGAGAGACGCGGGCTACACCGAGGAGGGCTGCTGCACCAAATCCGAGGTGGCTCTGCCCTGCTACACCGGCGCTGCCGAGCGGCACCGGAGGTACTCTCTGGAGGTGCAGGGCCACAGGTACAGCACCGGCTCAGCCTTCGACGGCGTGCCGCTCAACAAACCGGTGGCTCTCCCCGGCAACAGGTGCAACAGCGTCTGCATCAGCAGCAGCCACGACGGGAGGTACAACGCCACCAGCCCTCGGTCCAGCCTGGCGTCCTCTCTGTCCTCTCAGGAGCAGAGCAAGCATGCCAGCCCGAGGTCCAGCATCAGCAGTCCGCGTACGAGTCTGGTGGTGCCGGGTCAGGACAGGTACACGAGCCCGAGGTCTAGTTTGGTGCACTGCGAGGGCAGCAGCGTGCTCAGCCCCAGGTCCAGCTATGCAAGCACCGCCAGCGACACGAGTAAACACTCCAGCCCCCGGGCCAGCCTCAACAGCTGTGACTGCTGCAGCAAGCCCAGCAGCAACCGCACCAGCGGCATCAGCATGGGCTACGACCAGAGACACACCAGCCCCAGGTCGAGCACGGCCAGCCAGTACTCCTTCACCACCAGCCCGAGGTCCAGCTACTCCGATTCACGGTATGGGCCCGTGGTCAACCACGATCTGGAGGGAGCGATCCTACACGCAGTGCCGCTGGCGAGTCCCCGCTCCAGCATCTGCAGCCAGGACGGGAGCGCCAGACCGGGGACCACCGCTAACTGCGTGGTCAGCCCCCGCTCCAGCATCTCCAGCCACAGCTCCAGAAGTTCCCGCAGCTCCAGGGGCTCTATGAGCACCTACCCGGACCTGCAGCTGCCCTCACCCAGGTCGTCGATGCTGGGGAGCGGATTACACGAAGACACGCTGCTGCAGGAGTTTGGAGACTCCAACGGGATCCACAACCGCATCCACCTGCAAGGACTCTCGGCGGTGCCCGAGCCCCAGCTACAGGCGGCTCAGACGGCAGGAACCCCGGAGATGACCGCAGGGTCGCAGTCGTCGTTTAGTTACGGGGTGTCCACAAAGGCAACTTCCTCGGGCCAGAGGTTTAAGTTACCTTACCAGGTGACCCCCAGCCGAGAGAGCGGGCCGAGCCAGGCGGAGAGGCGGCTGGAGGCGCTCACCTTGGAGCTGGAGAAGGAGTTAGAGATGCACATGAAAAAGGAATACTTTGGTATGTAATGATAATTGCTGGTTTGTTTGCAAATACACCTGAAGGTATTTTTAGAACTAGCTACTAGGCATAACCGGAAAAAAAGATTGCACACTTTGCCAATTCATTACACAAATGAGCTTCTGTAGGTCTGAGAGATGATTTAGGTTTTCACAAATGTTCTCACAACAATCCCCAAACCCAAATGCCAAAGATTTCATCGATTTTCTCACAAACTTCTTTCATAAACTGTTGGTGCCTGATTGACTTTGACTAACAGCTCAACAAGTTTTCATCTGGCATAAAGTTTCACCTCAAGTGCCTGAAGTGTAAGGCAGTGATGCTCTGACTCCTTCCCTCACACTGTCTCTGAACGCGTGGGCCCTCAGGTATCTGGGAGATCAGTGCAGGGTCTCCTTCACAGAAAAGAAACGTGTGCTGAAGGTTTTGGTTCTTCAGACAGTCAGAGCAAGTTTAAAGTTCAAAGCAATGGTCCAAATTTAAGTTTCCAACTGAATAGAGTGGCATTTGCCTTTATTGTCTCATTGAATCCCACTATGATCCCAGTATGAAGAGGATTACCTCTGTAGCACCAACTGAACAAACATGTAGAAGTATTAGTCACGTTAAATGTCATGCTTAACTTTCTCTGTATTACAACACAGACTTGCTGAAACTGGAAGTCGAAGAAATAGTTTGAGAGTATTTATAGGTGTGTGCGGGGTCTATTTGCAACATGCGAATGGTTGCGTTTCCCACTAAGCGGTCCCTCTTTGGCAGATGAGAGTGGCTTTGCAGGGCAATACTAATTTCTGTCTTGGCACAGATAAAAATTTGCACAGCGCTGCACCTCGCTGAATGGAACCCTCTGTTCTGCCAGAGCAGACACCCAGAGCGGCGGCATGGTGTGGGCTTGTTGGAAATACAGTTATCCTCTGGAGCATGGAGTAAAAAAAGGCTGTGGTCAAGTACAATTTGATGAGTTACAGCAGGGATGGGAATCTCACACTGGGGGCCACCCAAAATGAAAACGTTTGCTGTTATAGGATCTGAAAGGCATTTTGGAATGAAAGCATGTGTTGGCTCAACTACTGACATCCTCTTTTATTTAGGCCTTTCTTTAAATGATTTAGATTTATTGTGATAAGGGAGTTTAGACCAAATATGTTTGCAGCAGCAGCAGAAGCAGCGACGCAGCTCCAGAGAGGCCGCTGAGGACGTCGCCATCCACCTTTTTTGAATCGGCAGCCCGACAAATGGCCAAGGCCAGAGAACAGTGGCTTGTTTTATAGCTGGTGCACTTGCTCGGAGTGAGGCTGACACAGCTGTTGATTTGTTCCAGAGGAGCAGGTGAGAGAGAGGAGGGAGGATGGAAGACAGGAGGTAGAGAACAGAAAAGGGGGGGTGGGAAGGGGTGATGGAGAAAGAAGCAAGATGGGTGGAAGTGGAGATGGAGAGAGAGAGAAAGGAACGGGAGGGAGAGGGAAGAATGCAGTCAGACACTACACACACACACACACACACACACACACACACACACACACACACACACACACACACACACACACACACACAC